AAAGTTTCGTCGGAACTAAGTTACGGAAAGTTAATTAACAAACGGAGACGTAACACTATGAAGAAGCTAAAATGGCGAAACGTTGACTGAAATAAAAAGTTTTCTTATTATATAGAGAATAAAAGTAGTTCTTTTTCGAACTTAGTAGTTCAAAATTAAAAATCTCAAATGATTAAATAAGCGTTGCAGGCCACATACTGAACGATAAAAACACAGAAATGCGAAGTTTAGATTGTTGACCCTATAACTTCTCTCTCTCTCTTGTAAAACTAAGTTCTGAAGTGAACAGATGAGAAATGTCCTCTTGTTGGTAATCAAATGAAGAGTAACTCTAAATAGCAAATACTGACACGTATTATTCTTGCGTTTTGTTGTTGAAGTTACTGCTAATACATTAACTGTTAACTTTAGAATTACCGATCAAGTACAAAACTCCGCATGTTTTTGTAACGCATATTTCTAAACTATTTATGCTCAAAATTGCTTGTGGATCCAAAACTTTCTTCCTTACAGGGTCCGCAATACAAGTCACGCACATATAAAACATCAACAATATAAAAATACCATCAATATTGCACTTGATCCTATTAGTCACTACCTCACATATTGAATAAGTGATTCCATCAATTTTTTGTCGTTTCTTTACACTGTGTGTTGTATGTTGTAAAATTACCCAATATCATGCAATATGTGGACCTCACCGACAGTGAATGGTATAATTTTAGGGTTAAATTCTGATGTTTCAAGGTTTACTGATTATTCTTAATAATGCTAAACCCGCGTGATAGTTTCGCCATCTGCTATTAAAACAGTTATCACTACTCCCTGACGTTTGTTTATTACTTGCTTCCTGGTATTATTACACTTCTGCTACAATATGCTCATAACTGCACGGTTCTATAATTTCAGGCGTTTACTTAGTTAGGTGTTATTACCAGTATATCTCAGGCAAGTTATGATTACTGATACAGTGATACAGAACTATACCAGTAAAACTGTTGGCTCAGCTGTCATCTGTTTTAGATGTCTGCGTTCAATTCCTGATTAAGTTCTCTATCAAACAGACTTATGTTTGATACAACACGTATGGATACAGTATCGATTGAGTTTATTTTAAAACCGTGCTCTAGTTCTAGCAGTTACAAGAGGCCTTCTGGAGCTCAAAAGCTCTATAATCTGCCTATGACTAGTCTTGTTGACAAAAACAGACAAACAAACGTGATTCGTAGTATGGCTGTCTATTATAAGTAGCAGAAAAAACACCGCCCCCCAGTGTCACACACAGCGGTATGTCTGCGGACTTACAACGCTAAAAACCACATGTGGATACACCAAGTGGTCAATTTATTTTTGGAATAAAATATTAAGTAACTTTGGATGTTAAATTAATTGGTAATACTGACAACATTTCGTTTAAAATAAACTAGAAACGTGTTTCAAAAAAAGTTTACAAATAAAGCTTTGATCCCAGTACCACCCAGGTTTTAGTATGGACATTTAATAACAAACTCTCTAATCTCAGCTCTGCTTAAGTTTTAGATAAAATGTTTGTATATATATATGTGTGTGTGTGTAACTGTAAATAAACTAAAGTTAACGGCAAAATACAACACTCCCCCTTCTTTTGGAGTGCTGTCCTAGTACGTTTGGTAATATAGTATAGACAGCTGTGTCAGTGGAATTGTCTATACCATTTATATCCATTCAAACATCTCATTCTCATAATCGTAATCCCTGATGATGTGCCGAAAATTCATAACCTTATTTAAAATGTGGGATCAAGGAGGATTTGAAAGCTTTTAGGATTGACTGCATGGATGACAAAAATTAATTTGCATTCAAAACAAAATATACAAAAGATTTTGCATTGTTGTTCATGCCCGCGGATTTTCACGGGTAATTTACTAGTTTTTAATATCTTAGCTATTAACAGCCCAAACCATTGTTATGAATTAATTAATGTCAATCACTCTTCTCGGCTCATTTTTATACAAGTCAGATATCTGATCATACATCGTGTAATCTGAAGTGCAAATGACAATCATTCAGCCAACGCTCTTAAATTACCCCCCCCTCTCCCAGTGGCACAGCGGTATGTCTGCGGGCATCCACCGTACGAAACCATTTTCGATACCCGTGGTGGGCAGAGTACATATAGCCCTTGATGTTGCTTTGTGCTTAAAAACAATAA